TCTCTCTGAAGCATAGAGGAGTAATTGTTCTGATATCCTCGTTCAATGACAAAGGAGAGAAAGAAGTAAAGTTCATCTTCCTATTTCCAGAAGTGCCAGTGTAACAAAAAGAAAAGCCATGTCAATATCACACAAGTGAATTAAGTATAAAACGGTCTTGTGAATGACAATTGACAATCAAAGCCCATCAGGCAGTAATATAAGTGTCACACAGTCTATTCTGGTTAGAAACATGCAAGATTTTGACAAAAACATATTTAATATATCACATGAGAAATAATATTTCTCATTAAAAGAGCTCTTTTTAAGTAAGTAATATGATAAATATGCCTTATGGCAAACAAAGATATTACTGTTTGCACAAATATATTACTATATGCATAAGAAATTTTTCAAGTTGTCTCCTTTATATCTTGTCACATGCAGGAGAACTTGTCTGTCCTGGCTATTCAGTCTGTCTATGATGCATCCATGCCTCATCCTTGTAAAGAGGCAGTGAGGGGAGAGATTTTGCCAAGTGCTTGGATACTGGAACCTGACATAGTGAATGGAAGAGATATCACCAGAGTTATTTACATGGCACAGGTAAGATTTTGCTGTATGTCCAACTGTGAATGCAAAAAGCCTGTTACATAGCAGAACACTTAAGAGCTGATAAGTAACAAAAACCACAGTCCTTATGCTATGCTCCATGAACTTCATGAAGTGACCATAAAAATTACCTCTCTTTCACACTGTTATCTGGCATGATGCATAGCAGTGCATGCTAGACAATCTTATTAGGATTGTAATTAAGCACACATTCCCGAGTTTTTACAGCATCTAAAGCTGCTTCTTTGGATACCCAGCTTTTCTGTAAAGGTTCATTAGCAGTTTTAGTGTATGTTTTGTTCTCACGTGGCAAGCCATTGCATTTTTGTCTTACTGTGGGCATAGGAAGTCTACCTTGGGTTATACTATGTTAAAAAATGTCTGAAAATACTTGTTATATTTTTCTAGCCTAAGTCATTAATTCTTTACAGTTAATAGATACAAAGAGAAGTAAAGATTAGTATTCCAGTTAAGAATAAAAAAATCCCACCATCCATTTCTTACAGACTCATCTGAAAAGTAGGCTCTCTTTGAGACAGTGGAACTTAGTATTTAAAAGTGTCCAGAAGAAAATGCCATAATGTGTAAAATTTATTTAAGTGCTTATGTAGAGATAAATGACATTGCTCCTTTAAAATCACCTATTTAAAACTTTTTAAAAATACATTTTAAAAAATATCATTAATTAGTATATGAATTTTACAGTGCATATGTAAAATATATACATGCATTTTAAAATTTTAAATGCGTTTTATATTGCCTTTTAGTATATGCATATATGTTTTCAGTAAGACTATGTGTCTCAAACTAGTAATATTTAATCCAAGCTCAAATTCAAAAGCAATGTGGGTCATACCTGCTAGAAGTAACATTAAATAACAAAGCTTTGAAAGTCTATGGAGTATTGGGAAGGGAAAGATACAAACCACACAGTAATGACAGCATTTGGCCGTAAACTACTGTTTTGCTTAACGTATACTTAGATACATCAGAGCTATTCCAGGCTGGAGAAGTGTTCTGCTGAAAAACAGGTACAAACCCCAACATGCAGCCTCTCTTCTAATTCCTGCAGGTGGATCTTGGTGCCCCAGCTATCCCTGCAAGGCTCCTGAATTCCATTGCAAAGCGGCAGCCCCTGGTGATTGCTCGACTGGCACATCTGCTTGCTAGTTAGTGTTTGGTACAAACACAGACACTTCACAGCTGCTGACATTTCACAAGGAGACATAAATGTCAGTAAAGGTAATGGAAAAGGCTGGCTCCTAAGGCAGCCACCACCAAGCCTCACTTCAGGAGCCTTACTGCTAATGCTGGACTATACGGAAATATAGTCAGAGAAAAGGATCATTTGTTTTAGCCAACGCTGCTTAGAAGAAATGCAGCAAGTTAAGCTGGGAACCTATCCTAGAGACGGCAGTGGGAAACCTCCATGGAACAGCAGAAAGGTGTGCTGTCTTTATAAAGAGCAGAGGAAGAGACTTTGCTTTACAATAGCCAGCATCTTAGAGTGTATTATTTAATTTCTGTTTGCAAGCAGTGATCAGCCTTCTTTCTTTCAGTAAGATTAGACTGGAAGCAGTACACATATGGCTTGAGACCTTTTACAAGCTCTGGAGCAGAGCTGCAAAGCTACTTTCCAATGTTGAGATAAGTATCAAATGCAGAATTCCTAACTGTGTAGCTACATCATTTATCTTAGCTAGCTGCCTATCCTGTCTTCCCCTTGAGAAGTTAAAGCAGCACAATATCCACTAGTCATCCAACATCCTGGATAGATTTTTCTCATGTAATCGGCTGTCTGCTTGCAGCCAGTGTAAGGTGTTTCAGATTGCCCACTACACTATGCAGCATCAGTGGAAACCAACACACCTCAGGACAGTTTTACTGCACTGCAGAATCAGGTGCTTTGAAATAAAGAAACCAAACAGACAGTTCCAAACAGTGACACTTTGTAATGACTAGGGTAATACTCAGTAATCAGCTTGTTTCTAGAATTTAAATCCTGCAAGTAAGAGTAGCTCCAACATTTTTCCACAATGGCTTTTTCTATTAGCCCTTCTACACGTTTACCCAAATGCATTAAGAGCTGAAAATATAGCCTGGTCATAGTCTTATCACACTTCTTTGTTCATAGCATGACCAGCTGATCCACTGCAGCAAGTATAGACCCTTCCCATTCAATTACCTCATGGGATTTCTGTTGAACTTAACTTAGTCCAACAAGCCTGCTGTCAGGCTTTACATGTTTGTTCAACATACTTCCTAGTGGGTTCACATATTCCTTAATTTAAACAAAATCACAACTAATTCAAATATCCAAATAACTTCATTTCATTCTTCAGCACAACAGTACAGAATCACTTTAGATATACCTAAGCAATAAAAGCTGCTATGTTATGCATTCATTAGCTCAAAAAAGCCCACATTATTCAAGAAGCTCTTGCACTTTAAATTTGTCGAGTGAGAAATGTGTATTCAAGCATCCACCTTACTGGAGTCAGTGCCTGCTACTTTAACATAGTTACTTTCAGTAAAAGGTGCATTTTCCCAGCATATGGTGACGTAGCTGCATTTCCTACCTTTGTTCAAGAGCCAAGATCTACTTTTACTATATCTTTGCACAGGTGTAATTTTGGCTCGCAGCTTCTATGTTACTTCCTGTTACTAATATTAAGTTTTAAATGAAAGGACAATAGCTATTTTAAATTGATACTTAAGAGCAATTTTGATACATGCCAACCTAAGGCTTCCCCCCTAAACTAGACCAGGTAGTATAACAAAACTTTTCACTTAGAAATATGCTTTGTTTTATCTTTGGATAGTTGTGGTTACAATCTTAACACCAGTAGATTACTGTTCTTTTTTTTGGTGAGGCTCAGCCTCTTCCTAAAAGCCTGCCAAACTGAGTCACAGCATGGCTCACTTGCAGCATCATGCATTTTTTTCCATAACCCCTCAAGGAAGAAGTTTTCGGCTAGTGAGAGAAATGACAGATTTCCTTTGGTGGAAACCCAGAAGGAAGAGCAAACAAGGCGCTACATTAAAACCCTAATAAAAACGAGGAGAAACAGCAGCACGGTGTATTGGGTCTGTCCCCAGGGCTGGTTTCACAGATTTCCACTAAAGATTTGCTCAGTGCTTTGCTTTTTTTCCCTTTTACTTTGGACACGGCACTAGTGATAAAGCAATTTTTGTAGGAAAAACATCTAGGGGGACTCCTGTTGTTCAATGATGCCAGTGCCTATGAAGGATAGTGTCTTATTGTACAGTGCATCAGATGTTTATTTTTATATATACTTTTTTTCCTACGTTTACAAATTAAGTTATTTATATATGCTTGGTTTGAGCCGTTTTTATATGCTATCAAAGCTAAGTTTTATTTTTATTGGTATTGAATTAATGTAATTTTTTTTTAATACACTCTTCAATTAATACTAAAAAGCCTATTTATATAAATGTTTTCTTTTGCAAATACAATATTTTATGGTACTTGCTAATGTATGGCATTGGTTTGTTTGGAAGGAAGAAACAAAAACCCAGCAGATATTGAATTTGTTAATCTACAACAGGCAAAACCCAACTTCCTGTAAGTTCCTGCTGAGCAGCAGATGATCAAACCAATTGTATTGAACCACCTAGGGTTGCATCTCTGCTCTTAAATCAAGGTTGCTATTTTCATATCCACAATAAATGGTATTTTCTACACAAGAAAACGTGCCCCACATTATTTTGCTCCAGCTATTTTTCCATCCAGTATAGTTCCACAGATGGATAACACAAGGGCAAGCTTGTGATAACAGCTGTGTGTCTCCCACTTGCCTGCTAAGGAATGCACATTGAATATGAACTTGTGGCACAAGAGTTAAACTTGGGTTCTGTGACATATGTCTTGTCCCAGCAAAGGGCTGGGTTTTTTTGGTATTTAAAAAAATTACATTGGCTGGAGCTTCTTCCTGAGTCCTGTTACACAACTCCCCTGACCTGCACATTCAGAAGAAAGTTAATATAACACTGTTTTTCCTAATTTTCTTTTGAGAATTGTGAGTTTGCAGTAGGGAAGACTCGTAGAAGAAAGGCCACAGACTCAGACCTGCCTTTCTGTGAGCTCTCTTCTCCCTACTGCTCTCCTGCTTGCAGCACCGCTGGCACTACAGTTAGAGTAGAGCACAGGGAAGAGGTGCAATACCTGAGGCACTGGCACTGAGAGGAGTCCACCAGCCCAGTGGGACTGCAGAGTTGTGCATCCTCATGAGCACAGTCCCACTGCTGAGTGTCCACAGGCAGAAAATCAAGTGCTATACAATTGCTCCTAAGGTTTGGTTACAAAGTCAGGTGTCTGGATTTACAGAGCAAACATGGCTGGGTACCATGGGGTTCCCAAGAACTACAGTAACTGCATTAAGTCATAAGAACACAGAAACAGAGGTGTTTCTTACCTGCTGGGTCCCATTGGAGAACTGACTGTCTCCTGGCCCACAGGGCACAACTGTGTTCTTTGGATGTTGTAAACTGCTCCTGAGACTTGGCCACCTTTTAAATAAATCTTCCAAACATGTTGTATTAGAGAAGGATAATGTAGGTATGTTGAGTTCATGAAAATGGCTGGAGCAATGGTATCAACACAAACAGTTTTACAGTACCCAAATAAAATCCATGCCAGAGCCCAGAGCTCCTTTTTTTTTTGTCCCACTGCCCCGCCTCCCTCCCCTTTTATAACAAAGTTCTATTTCAGTAGAAGCAAAGCAGCAGCAGGCTGGATAGCAGGTGTTACTGTACTTTCTCTGCCCCATTCTTTGTGGCAAGGTACCTGTTTTGTTCTTCACCCTAGTACAAAGAGGTTATATATTGACAGCTTGAACACAAGACAAGACATTTAATAATGTTTATTATGACAAACAGCAATTTCAAATGAGATCTGCAGCAAAACAAAACATAATAGCCTCAGGATGCAGGTATGGCATGATATGGTGTACTTGCTGCTTCAATTTGTATTCCCATGTCTTGCTGTATGTGCACCATGGCCTACTTTTAGGGACTCTCTCCTTCATTCACATCAGAAAACCCCTAAAATGAGCAATGCAGATGGAACATGCCAAATCTTTCAATACAGGGCTTAGTAAACAAGACAAGTCTTAGTACAGTTCAGACATTGATGTGCCTCTATGGTTTCTCTCTCTGTATAACATAAATTTTAAAAGAAGCTACACTTCTGCCTAATGAATCCTGTCTGTGGTTTTTCTTAAATCACGGACTCCAAGATGTTCCCTTTTCTCACCTTATACAAGGAAGAGGTTTGTTAATTACCAAGCTAAAAAATCCTGGTCTTTACTTTGTCTGGATGTTGTTCTTAAACACAGAACTTGCTTTCTGGAAAAACCTACACTAATAGGACACTCCTAGACAAAAGGAAGTAATGTCCTCACTGCTACCAGGCAGTGGGCAGGAGATCCCATGAGATAGCTAATGAGCATCTAATCATATTCTGCTAGTCACCAGCAGTCCCTGCCACAAACCCCAGTTTAAGGAAATACTTGGGGAGATCATATCCTTGGTGATGATCTGCCTGGAAGGGCAGAAAAATACCACTGTCCTCCAAGAAAAGGACTCCTTTCAAAATCTGCTCTCCAGGGTGCATCACAGTGCTTTTTCACTACTTTGTCTGCTCTTCCAGGCTGTAGTTTTCTTGCTGCAGCACCTCCTGACTGAAAAAAGCCAAACTCAAGGCAAGAAGAATTATAAAAACCAGTGGATAGCAGCCAGATGCCATTTATGTTCACATACTATAAAAGTGTCTTAAAAATACTGTCTTCAGTAAAAAATATAAACAGATATTTTCTCCCTTATTTCTATTAAAATCCCTGGGAAATTACAAGTTCTGTTTCCAACAAGAGACGGAAAACCACTTTAGCATCTACATCCTTTAACAATAATGCCATTGATGGTCTGGTGTATTTAATATGATTTAACTTTTAAAATGAGTCTTAAAAAATTAAAATCAAACCTTCAACATTGAGCTTACATTGAAAAATAAATATAGGCACATCTCTGTGTCATATAGGTTCACATTGTCCTTCCCCTGACAGTAGAGGCTTTCTTACAAGATAGCATGAGAAATCACATTGACTTAAGAGAAGAGACAGACGCTAAGGAACCGCCTCTCTGATCACAAAGACACTTGTCCACTTGAATTGATTCCTGGGTTTGGTCGCAGCCTGTTGCTGCACAAATAAAAAAAGTACCTATAAGTCTAAAGAACAGCTGCTCTGAGCCATAATCAAGGTGCTTAAAGGACTTTTGACTTGGAGATCCATTTGCTGATGTAAATCCTTCAGCATAGTCACCACAGCAAATGTCCACGAACAGAAAGACCAGTGCAGGTTTTGCAAAGTGACCCCTTATCTGCAGTATGCTCCCAACAAAGAGCTCCCAATCCTTCAGAAATTCTAAAAATCCCATTTGCGTCTTCATTAGTACTTTTTGCCCACAGAGTCCACCTCTGCTAACTTTGTGCGGTCACAGTACCTAGAGATCGTCTGGTCAGCTCACAAGGGTTAGTCCTGAGCTCCTTTGTATGATGTTCTGACACAAATACTCTGGACAGCATTTTCAGGTCTTTTAAGAAATCCTGTAACAAACAGATACAAACCAGAGAACCCTTACTAACAAAAGTCAACAAAGAGGCCTACTTAATTTTTCTAGTAAAGAACTTTAGAAGGTTTAACACATTGATGGTTTTCCAGTGATGACCCTAGATGAGCTACAGAACTGACTGCAAAGATGAATGCCTGTAGGTCTGCATGTTCAGTCTCCCACCTAACACCCACACCCTTCTCAGAAAAGATCACTGCCACAGTTTAAATGGTTCAACATCTCCAACATGCAAGTGCTCACCAGCCATGAAATACTGCCATTTTTAGCAAGGCATTTGGGTGGTTCCCTACATTTTGACTGTAGCCAGAATAGTGTGACTCCTCTAGAACAGTCTGACTCCTCTCACACTCTAGTGGTAAGAGGCACAGGGTTTTAAAGTGCACTTTGGGTCAGTTAAAACCCTTCCCAACATGTCATTCTCAACTGGAATGCAGCAAGCGCATTCAGGCCTGAACTGAGAGCTGGGAACTGGGCCAGCTGGTTTCCAAACTGGTTTACAGTTTTCTTGGAAACATTTTCACTGCATGGGCAATGTTGGATTCACACAAGTACAGATTTCAGCCAAACAATAGCAACAGTAACAAGCTTGCTAGAAGCCAGTCCTTGGGCTGCATTAAGCAGGAATGACAGACAGGAAGGTTATAGGTCTCACCTATATGAAACAGAAATATAAGAATTGGCTGTTTATATAGCTTTACTTTTTATTTCACTTATTTTTCACACACATCTAATTACTTACTGAGGGCCAAGGGAGCTCTTCAAGGCTATGCAGGCAACTCTCTATTTCACTAGTTCTCATTAGTTCATGTTCTACAAGACCATGAAGCAAGAAAAGGAACAAATCCCACTGCAGAAGAGAAAAAAAATATCAACAACTCAAAAGAAAATGGATTTTTTGTTTGTTTATTTATCCATACACAATTTGCATTTTTCTTTGGGATCAGAACGTGGCAAAAAGAAGCAAACACATTATTTATCTGGGTGTGACAATGAGGACAAGAGCAACATCCAAACTGAGTGAACAAAATTCTTCTAGTTCATACATTGTGTCCTACCATAGAGTCTCATAATTTCCAACTCTCAGTTTACCAGCACACCAAGTATTTAATTCCTGCCTGTTCAAGAACAGCTTGAAAAATTATTTCCTCATTATGAAATAAGCTGGTTTTAATTTGCAACTAAATAGGGTGATTTTCAGCTTCATAGCTGGAGTGTTTATAGCATCAATATGCATGCAAATATGAAAAGCAGATAAAAGACACAAGAATGCAACCAATTACAGAGTCAGGTGTGCCCAGTCCTCACCACATCCCAGGCCAAATGGTGCATTTTGCCATTTGTTCCTAAATGAAACTGTACCTTCCTGAGAGCCCCCCAGAGAGGTATCAAACCCTGACAAGTAGCACGTGGTCCTCTCTTCACTACCCCTGCAGAAACAGCACCAGGTAAGAGCAGAACAAGCCCCACTGGCCTCGTTCACACAAGCCATCAGTGAACACTGTGGGCAGGCAGAACTCACACAGAGTATCTGACCGGAGCAGACAACTGGCAGCTCCACAGATTGGAACAAGCTTTACCTCTCGCAGCTTAACTTCTGCAAGGTAACCAACGTTCTTCTTGCTGAAGATCAGCTGCACAGGAACAGGTGTCCCAAAGTCCTCCTTCCAGACAGAGAGCAGCAGTTTTAGAAGGCCATAGGTGGGATCATTCTTTACACACAGTCTCTCGGGGCTCTTCTTTGGGGATTTGATTTCAAGACTCAGAGGAACACGATCTGAAACTGTGAGAAAAGGATGAAAAATGAACTTCTACTACTGCATTGTTTCTTTTTATAGTCATCATCTTGGTACAACAGCACACTTAGTGAGTACAAACCAGTGAATCTAAGAGGACTGGAGTTTAGAAATATGCAAAATTATGAGCTTTGAAACTATACAGACAAGTATTACATAGGAAGAGATTTATACTCCTCAGTCAAAGAATACCATTTGGTTGGCACATAGCCCCAGGTCTTGAAAGACAACTGACCATATAAAGGTCAGTCTAATATTTAATCAAAGAGAACCTAGGTGTTACTTCCAAGGAGAGAAGAGTAATACAGTAAAACAACATTTAAATCTATAAACAGATTGAATAATGTCCATAGCTTAGACTACAGGCAGAGTTACATAACTTCATACAAGAGAAATTAAAGCTGAACAGTGTTTAACTGCAGCTAAACATAGACAGATGCAAGATATGACATCTTCCTTGGCACAGTCTAATTGAATGGGGCGGATTTAGACTGCTGCCCCCCAGAATAAATTTCACAACACTGGATGTGAACTGCCTTCCAAAAAAATGAATTATGTATAAAACTTCTTAAGGAGGTTCTAAACCCAGAAAATGAGAAGACTGCCCATTAAAAAACACCTACATTCAGATCACAAGCTAGTGCTGAGAAAAACATTATATTTACACATTAGAGCAAAAGAAAAAAACCAAACTGAAAATGCTCACAGAAGTCACAATACACAGGAAACAAGTTATTTCCATTCTTTAAAAAAAAAGAAAAAAAGCCATAAAAACATAATTTAATGGAAAAGGCCCTTACTTTTATGAAAAAAAAAACGAAGTCACCCACAATTTTTCAGCAGCAGAAATACTGGAAAACATATCCCATATTCAAATGAATGTATCAATAAATAAAAAACAATGGAGATGTGAACAAGGTCTGAAGGATGGTTAGTCACTGCACAATGCTGAATGTACATTCTGCAGAACGTAGAAGGGAATAAAAGCAACTACTCAAATCGACAGAAAAAATCTGCTGACTCAGTGACACCAAAGTGAATCAAACATTCACGAGCTCTAAATACTTCAGTCTCTGATCTCAAGGATTTAAGGGAATTTTAATAACAGACTTCAGTCTTAAATAGCTTATCATGACTGACTTACCCAGCAAAGAAGCCAACTCAACAGAGCACTTTGCCAGCTGCTGTTCTGATGTGGGACACATGAACTGGAAAACACAAAAAAACCCTGTATCTTTTTTCCCCGTATTACAAACTGGATAAAACAGGCTTCACAAGGGATAAAAATAACTAAGAAGAGCAGGCAATTTACAGCAAGAAGCACAGGAGACCATTAAATACTGAAAAACAAGAAAAGATCATATATGAAAAGGGGATCCACAAAGGCAAATTAAAGTAACAAGCAGATCTACATAGTGTAAAAAAATGCAGTGCAACATTGCCACATTTGAGCTCAAACAAAAAACACTCAACTGAGCTCAGCTGTGAGGCAAGGCAAACTAATAAGTTTACAGGTATTGAGACAGCTCTAAGTCTCAAAGGGTTTTTTTGTTGCTTTTTTACATTTTTTACCTTTCTGCATTGAAGTGTCTGACTCAATCTTCCTAGCAAGCACTCCAACCAGACATAGTCAATCACTTCACCCTCATCCCGTGGGCCCACAGCAACACAGAGCACATCCTTGGTGAAAAAGACAGCAGTAACTCACATATTAGTATCCTTCTCTTCCACAAACAGATCTTTGGACCTATGACACAGCAGTTCATAAGTAGCCCTTGGGTTTTCATTAAAATAAAGCTAGTACATACTTTAAAAAGACAGATTAAAGCTGAATTTTTCACCACCTTACCAAGGTATGATTTTCTATGACAGCTCTCATTAATGTTATGAAGTCAAATTCAGCGATGGCAACGAGTTCATCTTCCTTAAAAATACTAGCTCTGAAAGCTCTAGATAAATCTGACAGTGCAGCAAGCAAGTTCAGGGTAGAAGTGTTGGGAAATCCAGAGCCCTCTTAGATTCTCAGGGAACCTTCAGCGTCAACACAACTTATTCTTCTGTTTTTATTTTAGCACAAGCAAGAAAGCTTTAAAGAATGTGAACTTGTTCCCACTCAATTGCTGGGAAAGCAAAGACAGTGATATCCAACATTACTGCTCAAAAAGACAAACAGCTGCAAAAAAAGAAAAAAAGAGGCAGAACACATAAAGGTAAAAAAGTGAGGTGTTCAGAATTCTTCTTTTCCTCATGGTTTACATAGGTTATATGATTGCAAGATTTTAACAAGAACAGTGACTAGTTAAAAGCCTGGGAGAAATAACCAAAATGTAATTTAAACCAGCTTGAATATAAAATTGCTTGGATCTAAGGCTAAAATTCAGTCCATATCATCACCCTCTTTCAAAGATATTCTGATTCCCCCTAATTATAACTGAATGAAGGTACATTTGCAGACTGGCAAAAACCTTTCAATAGATCTGTACAGATTCATCTGACACTTAATTCAATAAAGAATTCCTGGTGTATAATATGCGATAGTTTACCAAGTTCTACAGACTTGAAAGGTCCAACAGAAAATACTTACTCTAAGCAGGGTCCAGGAGATTATCCATAAAAAGAGTAGGTCACTGTTTTGATATGCTGACTCTTCAGCATACAACTGTACACAACACTCACCACACTACAGTTTCCATGCTAAACATATCAAGAAGGCCACACTGCCAATGCTACCAGAAATCCTGTATTTGAGACAGTACTCCTAACAGGGAACTCTGATCAGACAGCAAGAAGGTGGTTAAAAAATACCTGAGCACTTTCCATTGTGCTTCCTAAACACTCCCCGCAGTCAGTTCCTTAGAACCAAAACATTCTCTTAAAAAAACTTGAACAAAAACCCACAAAACAACAACAAAAACAAACCATAAAAATTCCATAACCAATGAACCAAAAAACCACGAATGTGAAAAACAGAAAGGGAGTTGGGGTGAGCCAGGAAGTGAACGCTATATACCTTAATCTCATTGATGACTTGAGAGGGAAATGGAGCACAGTGCTGACAGCCTGGAGGGCAGTCCCTTCTCAACTCCAGAACATCCTCACTGGGCAAGGGAAATCCTGGGACTTTAAGCATTCTGTTGAAGGTTGCCTTCACTTCTCTTTTGATGAGTGCTACAGAGAACAGGGAACAAGTCCTGTCTACTTCAGTTTTTCTCTCCAGTGAAACACAGAATTGTTTCCAAACACTATTAACCTCTCACACCGAGGGCCATGGCAAATAAGGAAAAAAGACAGTTTACACTTTCAAACCCCTCTCACTCTGACCTCCCACTATATTTAATGGGCAGAGGCACACGTGGAGAGGGTGTGTTAACCCACAGCTTTAGAAGGTAGCCACACATTACTGCCAGGTACCACTGGCAACTCATCTCATTTCCCATCAAAATATTTCAGTCTGTTTAAAAAACACAGTAGCTAAACCAGGAGGCAATGTCAAAGCAGAAAGCTGATTCAGCAGGACCATATCAGTTCAGCCACTGTGCCCATGAAAGCCATACGTCTTCCACCAAAATAAGTTTTGATCAACATCCAAAACACTAAACTCCTGTGACTGCAAATGGTGCTTGAATATTCCTCGCCAGACTCTTGGCATAATCTCTTGAAAAAAATTGGTTTTCAGAGATTCTGAAGAGTTGCCAGAGCAGTATTACAGAGTAAAAGCACCACACTTCAGCCTGCAGAAAAGACACCCAGTCCAAGAGGTGTTTGTTTTACAGAAGATTTCAGTTCTCTGTACATGTAAACCATAAGGTGGCTTGAGAGAGCAGTTGTCTAGCATACATTGGAAGTGCTAAGACAACTTCAAAATAGATGACATTTCCAGAAGGAGCTTTCCCTAGAATTCCTTCTCACCATCCTACGAGACTCTATAACTAAAAATCACTTCCATGGGCCAAGACTGAAAGACCCCTGAATAAGATTCTTAGAGCTACAAATCATTCTTCTTATTCCTAAACAAGGAGGGACAGGGTAACTGCACACTTTCTGCTAAAAGAAAAATTAATATGATCAAGTACTTTATAACAGTATCTGTCCCTTGATCTCAGAAAAAAAAAAATTACAACGCACAGGTTAGAAGCCCCAGCTCAAAGTAAAAGGACTCACCTGCAATGTTGGCAGAGAGCCAGCCACAGGCTTTTTCAGTAGCCAGTTCCACTGCAATGTTTTCTGCACTACTTAAAACCTTTACAGGGAGGATAACAAGTGATAGGAGATTTACTACTAGCCACAGCACTACAGTCAGTGAAGAGTCAGAAGGAAGTCTAGAGGAAAAAAGCTTAATTTTGGCATGCAACGAATTAACAGAGCACCACCACGTCTGTGGGAACTGCTAGTTTGAGCAATATGAGTGACCCATTTTGATTTTCCAAACCTCATCAACTCTTGTAGAAGTTGATGCTAAAACAAAAGCATTATCCTTGCAAGATGAATGCAATTTATATAACATTCTAATCTCGACAGTTACCTATGAGCTAGAGTATCACTTTACCCAGAATATGCAAGGCAGCCTGGTAGAAGTGACTCCCCTTAGCTATCAGTCCTCCCATGAGGGCATTAATAGGTTCCCTTGACCTGAGCTATTAAGGGATAAGATAAACAGCAACGGAAAAATGGTAACAATCCAGACTTAAAGTCAGGGCCTTTAATAAGTTTTAATGAATATACATACTGCTGCAGATGTCTCTTCTGGCAACAACACCCTTACTGCCTCAGGACCTTTCTTTTTGCAAAATCTACAAAAAAAGAAAGAAAGCATGGCACAGGATTCTTGGACAACAAAATTCTTGGACAACACTCAGAGGTTCATTACATGGCAATGCAATAAATCAGACCAAAAGAACCAGACAAGGAAAGGGTAATTACAAGCCACCAAGCTGCAATATCGGTTTTCCAAACAGGGAAAATACAATAGCTGCAGTGGACGTCTGTGTAGAGCTGGATACAGAGGGACACACAGCACCTTTTCCTTCCCACAAATACAGTATTAACTGGTTGGAGGCACAGCAGACCGTCACTCTAAGAAGAGCAGAGGTCATAGTTTATAATTACCAGAACCTGAGCATGACAGGCCAAGCTAAATTAGGCTTATAGATTCTTCAGTAAGAAGAGATGGGAAGGCAGAAGTTTAAATAAGTTTTCCTCCTTACGCTCTGCCTTTGATGAGTGCCTCGGCCCCTTCCTCATAGAGATGAGTGCACACCTCTTCAAGAAGTTTGTCATGACTAGCAGCATCCTCCTTCACTTTATCTTGCAACATGGCTTCAGCCCTTTGAACCAACTCTGCTACCAGTGTTGCCCTGTAAAAAAACCAAGAACAATCAGACAGACCGAAATCAATGCAAGAAAAAGCGCACACTAAGTGTACCCAGCTGTTCTCCTCAGTTTAGGGGGATACCCATCTCAAGTGCAATAAACAACTCTGCTAAAAAAGAATCAATCGCTGTATTTAGTTCTGTACCATCTCCTTGCTCTGTACGCAAGGAAGAAAGCGGCAATGAAGATATCAAAATAAGATATCAATAAGATATCACTAAGACTCAACAGTCAAAAGCCTTAAGATTTTAGTAGAAACATATTTGATTACAGGTATACTTTCTGGCAGCAATGCCCTTGTATGTTCAATGGACAGTGCTCAGAAGTTCAGAGATGTCAACAGCAGCCCAGTACAACCAGTATTGCTTATGGGCTGATACCATTTAATGTCTTCAGCAAGTTGGACAATAGAACAGTGCAAAACCCCGAGCAAGCTCATGAGTGACATGCTGGAGGGCAGGGCTGCCACACAGAAGGACTGTGAAAAGGTGGAGAAATGGGCAGACAATGAGGTGGTGACTGTGCACTGTACAGGCTGGGGTCTCCTGGCTACGGAGCAGCTCTGCAGAAAGGATCTGGGGTTCCCAGTAGACAAAGTGAGTTGGCAGCACCTAAAGAAGGCCAACATTATACTGGGCTGACAATCGCAACAGTGCAGCCAGCAAGTCAAGGGAAGTTACCGCTTCCCTCACTGCCAAGAGGCTGCATCTGAAGTAGTGTGTCCAGCTTTGGGACCTCAGGACAAGAAAGCCATGGACAATTTGAGAAACTGCCAGAGAAAAGAAAAAAACCATTAAGATAATTGGGATGCTGGAACATGTGGCCTCCAAGGAGACTGGGGTAGTCAGTTTCATTTAGCCCGGAGAAAAGAAAAAGGTGAAGGGAGAAGGAAAGGCTACAGAGAAGACGCAATAAGACTCTTCCAGGGAGAGCACAGCTAAAGGTTGACTGGCCATATGCACAAGCTGGAACAAGGGATATTCTAATAGGATATAAGGAAACATTTTTCACAAATCCTGGGAAAATTAAGCACTGGATGGTACTAAGAGGTTGGCTGAATCCCCATCCTTAAAAGGTGGAAACTTTTCCAGTTGGAAAAGGTGTCAATAAACCTGATCTAATCTGAAAGGTGGCCCTTCTTTGAGCAGGAGCTTGGATGCAATGACCTCCAGAGGTCACTTCTGATATGAGATTTTCCTATCATTAGCAAGAATGTTCTGAAAGGGATATAAAGTCTCAAAATGCTGCATTATGTTCACAACCAAGCGCCATACCTCTTTACACGCCTCCACTCTACATCTCTTCAAAAATTCCTCTCTGTGATGGCAATAAGACATTTCTGGTCATAGTTTCAGGTAGCCTTGGTGGTCTGCTATGCAGTATACTCTGAGGGAAGCTTTCTTTCCCCCATACACACAAGTTCAAAGGATCAACTCTTTGTCTCATTATAATGTAAAGTCACTTCTTAAGTCACAGAACAGATTACCAGCACTTACTTAATGTGCTTAACACAGTTGGATCCCACCCTCTCTGCCACAAATTCAACTGTTCTCCGTAGGGAAGAAGGCTGGTTGTGGAAGAAGGCCTGTTCCAACTCCACCTGTTCAAGAGAAAGTGCTATAGTTGATTAGAGCACTCCACCCAGATCCTTCTCTCATCAACACAGGAATGGACAGAACTACCATCTGGAAATGTACTAAAAGGTACACAATCTGCCTACACTAGAACTTTCTGCTACTGCAGCATTCATCATCCCTGTAAATTAGTTACTCCCTATTCCCTTTTAGCCATTTAACCCAAGTTCGTTATCAGGGTTTCTGAAGCTACAAAAGCAAATGCTCTGTAAAGGGAAGAATGGGAGAGTTCTGACAGCACCTACTAATAATGAGTCACCATATAGGGCTTGTTTTGGAAAGAAAGGATCCTGTCTTCTAAATTCAGGTTGGTAATCCTGTAGGCTCCTACACAGGTTGTTCTTTAAGCAGAAAGCATGGCTACAATCTAACCAAAAGAACGTATGAGAAACATACCAACATTTTATATTAAAGAAGAGGGAGAGAGATAAACAGACTAGTTGTTCCAATTGCAAGAATGTTTACTGAAGTTATCTGGATTTCAACACCCACATGGTATCCCAGCCACACAACTGTAACAGAAAAACAGGGAGAGAGGATACCTGACTGTTAAGCACAATGTTCCCTGCTGCCCAGGTCCATTCTTTTCTTTCCCTGGCATTAGGATAATACTGTGTACAAGCAATTTCTCCTGCCCCGTTTCCCCTTCTGACTCCCCAATTTTATTACCTGCAGTTTCCGCTGCGTGACAGAAGCCTTGGGTGCTAAAGACTCTGCAGCTGTGGGAGTGATTTTTCTTATAAAGCCACCATTTTTTGCTCCACTACCAGCCACAAAAGAGGCAAGTAGTTTACGCAGCTCACCTGTACAGGAAAACATGCAAAACCAGACATCATTGCCAAAAGCAAGGGGAAAAAAAAATTAAATCAAAACTCAAGAAAGAGAGTTTCATTTTGCCAGTCCTGTTCCCAGAGCAGATTCTCTCTACTTCTATGAAAGTGGAAGTTTTAGAAAAGCAGAGGAGTATCCCCCACATTTAACTGGCACGGTATAGCAAGGCAGGCAAGGCTCTGAACAGAAAAGAGGAGGCTTCCAAAAAAGGGTCCCTAGCACATTGAACTTGTTCAGAAGGATCAGGGAGCAGTCATTTTTATACATCGCTTTTTAGTGTGGCAAACGAGAACTGTAAAGTCTACAAGGACAACAAGGCAAGCAGAGTTACACGAAATTCCACCAGGGGCAGGAGAAAATACCAGAGGAAAAGCTTGATGACACGTTCAACTCCTAGAAGATTTCACGATGAAGGTTTAACATAGTTTTCCTACTAAGTCCCAAGAAACAGAGCACCATCAGACCATATGGGGCTCTATTATCTACAGAGAGGAATTTTACCAATGGCAGACAATCCTAGGAAAAAACTCTCTCAAACAACAACCTGACAAAACACAAGAGCACAAAAGGATTCTTCCCCTCTGCCTGCAAGCAGAAATATGCTCAAGGACCAAAACATTCCTTGCAGTACAAACACCTCTTCCTATATCTAGGATGGAAAAGGTGTATACTTACTTACTCCTTATAATGTTTCTTTCCAGCTTTTTAAGGATGGCTTTCCTTGTTCCTTTGTATTCAAGCCCTGTACATCACTTATCCTGACTATGTAGCCTCCCTCCCCCAGCTTCACCAGATAGTATTTACAGCTCCATGAGCTTCTGCAATAGAGCTTTTTATCAAGGTTGATTTATACACAACTGAGACCTGAAGTTATGAGGAGGGGTAAGAAAGATGATCCAAGGACTTACAGTACCAAAGGACAAATACAAACAACTAAATAAATTTTTAGAAAGTACTAATATATTTTATTTATATAGCAAAAATAAAAAAAATACTCACCAAGATAGGGACAGCAGGTATAAAGTAACTGCTGATCCACCAAGGGTACAGAGTCCTGGTGAGAAAAAGAAGGAAATGCTGAAAGGATACTGCAGGAAAGAAACAGTCTTCAAGTCAGAAATCCCACACATATGGTCACAGGAAGGTTTCAGGGCTGCCTTTCCATGAAAACAATAACTGGATTCCAAATACACAGTAAAATGATGAAGTCTGCAGCCCAAGTGTTCAGTCAATCCCTGTAACACAGAATGAGCTGCTCTACCTTTTGTTAGTGTAGCTCAGCCTTTGCTCCTGATCACTGTGGAAGTAGGGCTGAAAGCTGCTGTTTAAAGAAGGGAACCAGGACTGTTGCCACAGCTCCTACTCATAAGGGAGAAACCTATCCACGGAGGAGAATATATGAGGCCCATCTGCTATGCATTACCCTGCACAAATGCCTTGCCCCAGACTCACTGGAACACCACGTTGTGGAGTCATGTCAGCCCAGTATGACACAGCACAGGCAGGGCCCTGGGAGGAAAAGGAACTTCAGATCCCACCCATAAAGGCGGTGTATCTTAGCAAATATACTCCTCGCTTTTCAAGGAATACTGTGTATCCCTTTGCATGTCTGGGAGTTATCTGAAACATCACACCTATAAACTCACTTGCTTTTCTGCATGTTCATACTATTTTCAGTTCATCTACCCTTTATCACGTAACTGGAAAACAGGTGACCCCAAAGACAGTAACCTTACTCATACAGTCCCATCTTACTATTTCTGTTTACAATTACTATTACTTATTTCTGGGAAGAGCTACAGTTCTATCAGCTCCCCTTGTACTGCAATAATCAGTGAGTAGGAAAACAGCACCTGATTCTCCAGCACAACTTGGCACCTGTTCTGCAAACTATTGCAGCAGGTGAGATGGCTCCTGCCTGACAAAAAACCTAGAGCTGTAACACAGAGTTCACAACCCAGGATGAAATGCAATTGAGACGCTTGGACAAACTGTGGCATCACATCCGTTGTCCTACATATTCTCAATGCAGCTGCCCTGAAGCCAAGTTCCTGATAAGATCTTAAAACTCCTGAGGATGTGGTAGGTCCATCATCATCCACAGATTCAGAGGACATGGTACTGCACTAACTCACCAAAGCCTGAGCAGATGTCACAGTATCCATCATAAATCTCTCCTGCCTGTCGTCAGTGGTAAAAAACAACTCTTCAGGGACTGATGGAACCTGAAACAGAAAACTCAGCAGTTACAACCCAAACAACAGTCAGTAACTTACACTGTTTCTGATAAGAGGACAGTGAAACTCACCACCCTGCCACCAACAAAAAAAACCCAACTAGTACTAAAGATCCACTCTGCCCTAAGCACCTTTCCATAAAATTAAATATTTCGTTTGATCACAATAACAGAAGTCACCTTCCTTACCCTCCCGCTAACACCATGTTTCACATTTCCAATACATTCCCACTAGGTAGTTATCTTGCTTCCAACTGGAGGCACAGAATAATTTTAGAAGTTCATCACACATCATCCCTTTATCAGACAAAAAATTCCCTAACAATTCAAGGCTGACAGCAAGCTGACAGCTAGCACTCCATCTTTGTGACAAGAGTTCTAACAGGAAGCAGCTGTCAATTTGCTTACAAGGATGCAGATTAATAAGTACAGAATGTGTTTCAGATAAAATTAGAACTCCTTTTGGAAAAAAAAATGTTGCTTTACACAATTTCATTAATGGAAAATAATTCTCCATTAGAATACAATTGTTCTTTAAACCCCACAAAACCCCACAACAAAACAACAGACTACTATTTTGCATTGGTTTAATTATTTCAATACTACTTTGGTTCTTGGTGGTTTTTTGCTTTTTCTTCAGGGAAGAGCTGTGTGCACACAGGAGACTCTACCTGAAAGAGCCAACCCAGAACTGCAAGGATCAGCAGCTTGTTCAGGAAACTCATCTTCTTATCTTCAGAAAGGACCATTAACCTGCCATGCAGCAGAAGCAGCAAGAGAAAGTGTGAGTTTTCAGCACCTCCATTTTCATTAAGGAAAATATTCCCAAATCATTCACTTTCCAATTACACTATTACTTGCGTGTCTGCCAAAAGACTGGAGAGCAAGCTCTACTTTTTTGTATGTACCTGAACAACATGCTGTCTTAAGTTTACACTGGAAAAGCCATTCTCTAGAATGTGCTTCAAATTTTCCTCATTTATATAGGAAAGAAAGCTAGAAGATTATTTAGGCATTGGAAATTTCCAGGTGTAAGGATCAAATTCAAGGTTTAATATTCACAGCTGCTGATGTAGAATGAGCAAGTGGGGATTTAAAGACTTTAATGTACTTAATGAAAAAAACACATAACATATTTGAATCAAAGATTAATCCCTGAGCTTAGGATATGCTCCCTTTGCAGTTTCATGTAAGATAAGAAGTGCTGACGATCTGCACCAAAAAAAAAAAAAGTGTTTTTTTAATAAGAATCTTGAACTAGTGCCAGCATGCATTCTCAAACATCGAGTACCTTAACTATATAATCAAATATTCACAGAAAAGTTCTTAAGATATATATATTTTCCCAGTCTCCTACCTGTACACCTGCAGCAAGAGACCAAATACTTTCCTGTAGTAATCCAGGAAAGGAGCAATATGATCCACAAGGGAAAGGTACTCCACAATCCAAGGAATAGTAAGGATAGAACGTTGATCCCGAACCGATTGTCTCAGAAGCTTCAATACATCCAGTATAGGCAGGGTCTTAGAGGACAATAGAAGTTATTGCAGCAGTTTGAAGTTACTTTTTGATACTTAAAGAAAAACTTCTATCTGTATCTTGACTTTTCTTTCTAGGATTTCATCTTCTATACCAATAAGAGGTGACTTCTAGCTAATGAAAACTCTTCTTTGCACATGAGCAGAGGTAAAAATCACACTACAACTGCAACCAAAGGTCCCACTGGGACTTTCAAAAGCAAGGCTATAAGCCTGACTACGTACAAGTGGAGTCATTGCATTCAGAATGACACACTGCTAGGAGATGGGTGCCAAACTTTCAAAATCATTCCTGCTAGCTGGATTTTATACTATAAATACAGCTAGGTGAGAGTTCTAGTATGACAGACCCAGAGTAGCAGAAATAACAGAAGACCGAGCATCTTACCGTCAGTGCATTGCTCCCTCTTTTCTAGGTTATTCAAACTCGTTTCCTTTGTTCCCAACCCCAGAACATGCAGTAGGGACACAGAACCATATAACATCATCCCAGGAGCCACTGGCTCACTTCGAAAGGCCATGACAATTCATAATCCCCTGCTTGGATTAGAAAACCTGCCTGTCAAGCGAAAGACAATGTTAGGTTTCTTACTTGGTTTCTTAATGCTAATGCAGAATCTTGCAAGTCCCTAGTTGGCTGCTCCACAGTGCGATATGGCAAGAAAACAAGAAACCCCAGGAACTTGGCGAGGAGTCGCAGACTTAACAGGACCACAGTGAAGCGCTTCTTTTCATCCTAAAATGAAGAAAGGCAAGCTGAGGCAATGCTACCCTAATCTGGCAAAGCAAATACCTATACTAAACTTTTATTTCTCTCATGTAAAAGGACCACATAGCTTCATCATTGCTTTTAATAGATGTAAGTTTCCAAAATACATATTTATCAAGCATTTAAAATTGCTTCTGTCTCCATTGCTTCACTTCATCACAAGAAGAAATTATTCAAGAGCTCTCTAAAACAAGCAGCTGCTAAATCACATCTTCATATTAAGAACTTTGGAGTCAATGAGAGGGCAGAGAGCTGATCTCACATTGCCTCCTTTATACCACTACCACTTTGCAAGTCTTCATGAACCTTTGGCAGCTACTTTGCTAATGAACTATAAGCTGTGACACCTCTGATAGGTATAGTTGAGTGAAGAAACATCTGAACAGGTACGAACAGGGATGACTACAAATTCAAACTAAAATCCTTCTATGTGGAAAAGGAACAAGGAGCTATTGCAACTGAGTGCAACAACTCAGCTTGGTTATTTCACTGATCTAACACAGGATACGAATAACCTAAAAAGGAGGCTTCCACTTTCCAAACTATTGTGCATTATCTCTTATGTCACAGTTCTATGAAGCACCCTGAAGCATGCAAGTAAGTGGCAAGGGGCTCACACTTCCATAACTAGAGTTATGACAAAACCAAATGAAGCTCTTCTCCTGTAATACAGTAGTGGCAGGTCCAAGCAATTCACAAGCAAGCCAGTAATTGTTTGAGTACTGGAACAGCTCAGAGAAATTCCTGCCAGATGTGTTTGCAAAAATCAAGCTTACCTGTTCATCCATGTCTGCTTCCCCATCAGTGTGCTCATGCTCCACCAGAGTAAGGCCATTCAGTTCAAGTATCTTCAGGCACAGACTATCCATCAGGTGCTGATTGAACTGGTAACTTCAGCAAAAGATGATGATGAGTCAGACTGGGCTGAAAACAGCAGTAAAACCTCAACTAACACACTGCAAAATTTCAAGCTTGTCTCATGAGCATCAGTAGACATCCAGTGGAACAGACTGATAGGCAAGAAAGCAAGAGAAAAGACTAGTACTGGCTGATCCCCTTCATTTCCACTTCTTTTCTACTTTTTCAAAGAGATGCTATTTAGCAAGTCTTGGCATAAGGATAATAAAATTGATCTGTCAAAGCAGGAAGCTGTGAAACAACTGAACTTCAGATTAAAGTCTCCCATAGATCACAATTCCTCCACGCTGTGAATTGTGAAAAACCATAAACCTGGCTTCATCCTGTACTCCTTGGTTTCATGCACTATCACACAAGAAGCACTTGTCCAGTCCAGTGTCCTTGCTAGGCAGCACTGCATGCCTTGGAACTGGGAAGTGCTAAGAGCCTCTGAGAAAATATTATGGCTTTATAGAAGAAAAACTATTACCATATATTACCATATAGTCTAATCCCAATCTTTCTGAATAACTCTCTGCTGCAAGAGCAACATGCTGATGCTCCTGTTACTCACACATTTCAGAGAGGAAACAGCAAGCACAGGCAGCTAACCTTCCTGCACTGAGGATGAAGTCCCTGAAGAATTGCTGGCACCCCGGGAACGAAGGGGGTGGACAAGGTCCTCTGATGCTCTGAGGAACAACAAATCTTTCCTGCAGCCTCTTCAGACGGCTCAGATTGTCAGAACCCAGCATATTAAGGACGTCCTGGTCTGGCGTATCTCCCCAGTTTGCGCCACCACCAATAGGACCTTTACACATCTTTAGGAGACAGAAAGAGTAGGGAGGTGGAAACTTTGTAACAAGACATCATTTCACTTATCTCTCATCCAACATATTATCCTTTCCTCACAAGACTGTTTTTGGAGTAATCCAAGCATGATCTTTTCAGGTACCCACATGCAGAACAACTCTTCCTCGTGTTTTGCTATCCAAAAGGAACCCAGCAATAAGCCACGCATTTACAGAGAACAGAATGAATATCTATACTCCAATAAGAAGCATTTTCTCTTTTTTTTCATTCCTTTAGTTACAATGAAGGCAAATGATGCTTGAAACTCACCAAAAAAACCCACTCTAAATTAGAACAGCAATACTGTATCAAAAACAGGCTGTTGTAGTGTTACACTGCAACAGAGACCCTTTGCAGATAGTAAGCTCATGCTGCTAACAAACATAACTGGAAATCTCTACATTGATATATGTCAAAACGCATCCTTAAAACTTCCAGAAACTATAACTCTATTAAAATTAGAAGAACAAAGTAAATAACCATGAAGAATTAATGTTTACAGATCTTGATGTGCTCAGTTTGCCTCATTTCTGATTTAAACAGAGTTCATCAGTAATTTATCACAGATTATTTCTTAAAAAGGAAAGAAATTCCCATCCTGAAAACTTGTCTCTCCCAAAGAAAAGGTTTCAATAGGAAAATCTCGAAGAAACTTGCAAGACACAGTTTGTTTTCTCAGGCTGAGGAAGGATCAAATCAGTTTTGACATACACATTCTTGAAAAAAACCCAAGTCATTTACCTGGATAAGCTGTTTCTGAAAGAGCCGGGCAAAATGGCTGTGGTTGCAGGTTGCAGATAGATGAGCCATCATGGCCCTGTGAAGGAAAAGATCATGAAATTCTGACAGGAACTCTGTGGTACAAAAAATAGTGTTCTAATCCCAAACCATACCAAGAGCATAAAACAACTGCTTTTAAGAAAGCAATCTCCAAAGGCCATTGCAAAAAGCAACATCTTTATAACCAGGTTTCCCAAGCATTGAGCCCCATCTGCTGCTGATATGGAAACAAAAATTCTCCCTGAGCACCTGCAGAGCAAACAACTCTAGAGACAAAAAGAATCTCTTCCTTTCCTGAAATAATGCTGTTACTTGGAAAGAAGAATGAACTCATTCAGCTCCCACTCTTCCCTGCGCAGAAGAGCGAGTTGAGAGTTCACACATACAGAAGTAAGAACACAGCAATAGTGCTACTTCTGATGCCCTAGGAGGTGGGAAATTTCTCAGTTTAGGCCTCAGCCTTGTTCTGCTCCTGTAGTGAAAAGCCACCTACATACATGTAACTTGAGTAGGTTGATGGTTGAAGCTAACACAGAAACCCACAAGGCAACTGCTATCAAAACCATAGTAGTTTCTTTATGTATAATCTATTTTGATAAAGCAATAAATTAATTTAACAGTCTGCTTTCTGCAGAAAGAGACACAGTTGTCTTGTTTTCAGAGACAATACACTAGAACCTCCCAAAATAATTAGAAGAGCCAACAGCTTCTGAACATACAACACAGGTCTCCACACTTAAGTGGAGTCAGACATCAGAAACTTGAAATGCACACACAAGTGTGTACAATAACACTGTGTATACTATATATATATATATAGTATACAATACATATATTGTGTATACAATAACAATGTTCAGACCACAATACACTGGTAGCTCTTTCTGTGATTATGAATAGGGAAAGAGCTACATCAAGACTGATCAGATTAGGCCCTTGCCACTTACAGCTTGTTTCTTTTAAGATGGCAGCTGATACTTTCAAATATAGAAGCAAGTTTACATGGATAGTATCTTCCAAGCAGCACAGCTCCCAACAGATTAGTGCAGAAGACCAGGGAGATCATGGAACTTAGGATGCCAGGTGTAGTATGCTGCACCAGCAATTCAGTCACATTAAAGACTCCTACCTGATCTTGTTGCCCAGAACTCTTTCAAAGTCCCAGCCACTTTTCTCGTGGTTATCCTCCCATTCACGCAGAAGTTCATAAAATATGTCCCTGAGAATCAAAATATTTAAGGGAATGAATTCCCACTGTTCAAAATTTGTAGGAACAACAACCAAATATTCAATTGCTTCAAAGTTCCCCGGCAAGAATCTTCTCAGATTAAATAACTCACGTCTCTAAGCATTCAGATACCTTTGCAAAACTCATTAGTGTTAGCGGGAATTCAGTGAGTTTCCATTTTCCATGTCTTTGACAAAAAGTGCTTGAGCTTATGCCCAAGCTTTGATGGAATGACCAAAACACCCACTGTCAGACAGACATACCGAAGACTGAGAGGCAGGAAAGAAAAAGCCAGAGGACATAATATCTATGAGGAGAGAAAAAAGGACCAAGACAACTTGTCATTCTGCCCTCATCCTGTTGCTGCAAGCATGGAGAGAGGCAGCAGGAAGAATAAAAGCATACTAGGTCTATATGGAAAAGCAATCCAGGAGGGTGACGCACTGTAGTGGCATTAACAGAAGTCTCAATAACTCCTGAAGAATTGGGCTGTTTTTCTCTAAAGACATTAAGCATTCAGATCCTGCATTCAATATGGACAAGACTTTTTTTCCCTTTTAATTAGAGTGAAAATTTCAAGATTTTTTTTCTACGGCACGAAGCATACATGAGACATTCTTAGTATCCTTTGCTCACAATCATGCAAAGATTATACTCTGTGAGTCATACAGTAATAGTAGAAGAAACTTACCTTTGTTTCTTAAATATGTGAAATGCTCTGTCACTGGGAAAGTTAGAGCGATTATCAGTTTCTGGCTGGAAAGAAACAGACTGTACAGAGCACGGCAACAGGAGAGACACCTGTTCAAAATATAAAGGCAGCCATTAGACTAATGTAAGTCTCTAAAACAATCTGAGACTCAGAAAAGAGCAGGGAAAAGGCATGATGAGGAAACCAAGTATTACTAGCCAAATTGTCCAGAGATTAGGTACTTCCCAATTGCTAACTACTAGTAAACACTAACAGTTTTACAACCTACATTACACTACAGAGGCAGAGTCACTCAACATTATGAGAGAAAACATCTCATCTCTCTAAATCTCTGCTGAACAGGTTGCAATCAGTGTTGATACTGTGTGGAAAGAATGATGCACTGTCAAAGCGTCCCTTCAATATCAGGCTTCAGAAAATGCAGGATAATGGCTGGCAATTCCTCTACTGTTACTCTTCCTCCAGCTCAAAAAGCCTATGTCTTCAAGTAACAAGAGACCTTTATTTACAACTTAAAAAACTTTAAAGCTCCGTTATTGAAATGTCCTAGTCTCAGAAAGTACACGGTACTTTCTTTGCAAAGAATAATTTCCATTTTTAAAAGATGCATGAAATGAGATATACAATGCATTCCTACCATCCAGCTTTAGTTCCCTAACCCAGATAATCACATGAAGAAACCAGTTTACACAATCTGCGTTGTCTCCTCTGAAACTTCATTTGCCTAAAAGGAGTCAATATCTATGAAAGAAATCCACTTCTTCGAAACTACCTTCAGATTCTGCATCTAACCAATCATTCTTCTGGGATGCATGTTTATTAGATGAGAATCAAAAGCAAAACTTGACTCTATCAAAGTCTCTGGTTGAGGTCAGGGCCCAGAGCACAATGCAAGGATAGCCAGCAATGATTCAGTGCTAACAATCACTGGACCTAGCAATTCACTCACCCACTGACAAGAAAAAGAAGTAGCTTTTAGACAGTTGCCAGAGACAACATGACAAGATATTTGAAGTAGAAGTAATGAGATTTAACATCAAAGCCATTGCAAATAAAAGAAGAACAATATAAAGGCTTGAAGAAATGTCAGCTGAGGTCTGCCAATTTTTACCTTGGCTGCGCTGCTTTCATAAGCCTGCCTGAGCCTCTTGTGCAAGGTGGGAGAAAAAGATGCAATCCGTTCATTTTCAGCCAAAAGCTTCAGCATCCCCTTTTCTAAATGGGAAATAATTCTGCCAAGAGAACAGGGATAAAACCCAGATAGACAGACATAAACAACACATGATCAGACCTAAAGAAACGCTTATGCTTATGTTTTATGAGGCTGCCAAGTAAAGAGTTCTAAGCCACAGGTATTCAGCGTGAAATCCTACAGGTAAAGCTCTAAAGCCCAAGCACACTTGCTTAATCCCACACACAACTGCAGACATAAAAGCAGAGGAAAAAAAATTCAACTCACTCATACTGATAGTCCAAGACTCGAACAGCAAAATAAACACAGTTGTGCACACTTTGGAAATGCTGTCCCTCTGACACTTCTAAGGGAAAAAAAGAAACATGAGACAACAGCATTTATCACTATTTATAAACTAACAGACCAACAAAGCTTTTAAAGAAAGTAGGAACTGCCATATCCAAAAGTAGTCTTTCAGATTCCTGTCCAATGTCCAGAAGTTCCCACTCTCAGCCCTAAGAATGAGTAGTAAAACAAAGGTCAGTCAAATTGGGGCATCTGGGATGGGATAGCGTGTGGTGTGTATCACTCTTTTGGTTTTAATATCCATTTCAAAGTACTAACTGCATCAAGCTCAAGCCTGAATTTGACAAAAAACAAATGTAAGAATTATGCATCTATATGGCTGGATCTTGTTGCACTCATATCCTAATCTTAAGCTAAAGAAACACATAGTAGATCAACAGCACTTTTGAGTTGCAGGGACCAATGCTGAAGCAACTTTAGCAAATCTGTCCTTCTCTTTAAAAGTCAGTGTTAGCAAGCAGCTACAGCAAATCTCACACAATAGCAGAAAACTAGATTCAAACAGGACCTAACAACCCCTCTCTATCATACTGCAGAAGCACTTCCCACACATGTGTGATTTTTGCCAGCATCTCGGATGAGTCCTACAGTGGTAATAAGGCATTTTTATGTCATTTAAGACTAACTGTCCAAGCTGCTATATAACACATTATTATTCCATGGAAGTAACATTCTTTCTCCTCAATACTATTGCTTACCTCTACTACTTTCATTGATTTCAAGGTCACTGTCCCCATCTTCTGCAATAGAAGTACCTTTAGATGTCAATAGTTGCAGAACAAAAAACAGCTCCAGAAAAATATTTGGTACGAGGTTTTCTGGAAGAGAGTAAACAAGAGTTAAAGGTGGATTATTCAATATTGTCCTGCTTTAATTCACAAAGGTAAAAAAATAGATTTCTGTACTCTAGTAGTCACAAAAGAACTCCCTCTCCACACACAGCCACAGTGTAAATCAATACAGGAAAGACGCGTTAGGGAATAGTCTAGTTTCACATCATATAATTTCGGTCTACTGCAGCTCAGAGTACTGCATCAGGCTCACCTCCTTCCCTAAACTTTTATCTAGTATTCATTTATTTTAATAATTGAGTTGGCTTAGTTTATTTTTCCAGATGTTATTTTTTTGTACAATACAACTGTTCCACAGCTTCCGCTTCTCATCTACCTCCCTCAAACAACACACACGCAAGTTCAAAGCTCAAAGAAAGGTCAGTCTCACATCTTCTGGATCTTCACCTGCTATACACGATGAATAGAGCTGTGCCAGACACTCCAGCTGCTTCTTGCAGGAAACCTTAGTAGGATTTGCACAGGTGACTAGATGGCTTTCAGCAGGCAGGCTAACACTGCGAGTGTAGCTAGGCTTAGTCGGAGTACCAGGATCAAAAGACATCCCTGCAGGAGAAGACGCCTGGTGCAGCAATTTGCATCTGAAATTCAAGAGCAGCAACATATCATGTGACTGAAGATGATCCACAGCAGCCACGCAGCCAGAAGAGGTCTTTCTCTTGCACTGTAGCGTGGAGGAAATCCTGCAATAACTAACCATGTCATTTACACTTGTCTAATGCAGCTTTTAGCTGATAGTAATTTAAGTCATCTTTCTCTTTGTGAAAAAAGATCTTGGGGTTAGCAACCAAGACTGAAAAGAATCACATTCAAATTCCAGCTCTGTTAAAATAGTGTGGCACTTTCAACAAATTAACCAGCTAACCTATGTTACTGCTTCTCATCTGAAATATTTGTTAAGGACAGAGAATCTGTTAGAGACCATGTGCTGAAAAATTTTTTTTGCATGTACAATTTCTGACAGCTAGATTTTACAAAATCTATGAAAATAAGGTTCACATCCATATATTCAGATATATTTGTAGGTTAACAACACCCTGAGAAGACCCAATACCACTACGTGGAATGGCAATGCAACAACTGATGAAAGCCCATACAGAAGGAACAAACTGCTTTAATTGCTGGATTCTAAATCAACAATGATCACTCAGTTAAATACATAGACATTGTAAAAAACTATACCTTGAGATGTCATCCAAAATGCAGCACCGGAGTGGCACGTATAAGACACATGAGAAACAGGAAACAAGCCAGTAACAGCAATATCAAATGACTGTTAAAGATTCCAATGAAACATTCACACTTGTAACATCACACTGTGCCTTACCACACTGTCTCATAAGTAAAATCTTTAAGTCACTTTAAGGGCTGTGGGGAAGATGGAAACATTTTTACCTGCAGCAAAGGCTTTTTTCTATTGGCCTATTTCTAGCGGAACTGTTGAGCAAATTGTTCCCAAAATGGAAACAGAAACATTACTAAATAACAGCTCCCTTGCAACGAACATAAGCACCCAAACTGATCGAACTGAAGAAAATTATTTATTAAGCACTTTGTAAACCTACCAAAGTAAGACTCTAATAATGCAGTTAGACTCTGCTTCACTTCTGCCTCAGTGTTGTCATCTACCTCAACACAAAATTCACCTTTTGCCCTTGCTCAAAGTGACCCAGCTGTCTGGAGCCTGTGTTAGTTTTGTACTTCACTTTACCACCAGTATGGAGGACACAACAGCAGCTCCCAGTTTTCAAGCATGATAGGTCAGACAAGATCACCTCCTGTGGAAGATCCAGCCCACTACATACTGCTATTTCGCTCACTTTAGCTTATATAGATTATTGGGACATTTCAGGTAGAACTCAGTGGAATAGGTGCTTTACTTCAGTGCAGAGAGGCAGGTTTGAATCCTGAGCAGTTCTGCTACAGGTCCAGTACAAACAGTAATTCATTAGTCTCTACTGGATGTGTTTCAGCCAGTTCTGGACCCACTGAAATGAACTGCAAGGCTTAGCAGGAAAAGAATTCCACCCATGTGTCCTGAGGAACTTTCCCAAGAACAAAACCTACAAAGAACAGCAACACTTCTGTTAGCAATTACAAACAATAGTTTCTCTACTTCTGTGCTTTGCTTTTTTTCTGAATGCGGTAGTTTAGTCTAGGCCTTCCTTGGTGACCAGTTTGTAACCAAGGAAGTGCCTAGATTTACCCGGTAGTCCCTATGATTTTTACGTAAGCCGGGGTATAAGAAGAAAGGAGGAAAGGCCTTTGCTCTCTTTCCTTCTAGTGGCTTTGGAGGTGTGGGTTTCCCTGCTGTTGAGTCTGTTGTGTTGGGGAGTGAGGCCTGGTAAGGCCTTGCCAACCTTGGGAGACGGAGGTTGCTGGTGGCCATTCCAGTGAGACTTTCTGTTGTCCCAAGGAGAGTAGTAAGATATTCTTTTGCTAATTCTTTTAGTTGCTAGATCTTGGGCTATTGATCGTGTATATTTTATTTTGGTTTTGTTCCTTTTTTTCCCTTCCCCCTTCCCTTTCCCTTCTGAAATTGTATATATATTTCAATTGTATATAACTGCAATATAAGTGTAAATGTATTTATATATATTGCTTTAGCTGTCTCTCTCTCATTTCAGTTCTCTTGGTTTTTTTTTTCTCTCCCCTTGGTTCGGGGGGGAGTTCTGGTGGTGAGGTTTGGGACTTGGCAGGGAGCCAGCTTCAAACCATATCACTGAAGTACAAATCTTCACAGACTAACAGTGATATAATTTTACAGATGATGAAAGTCACACACTAACTGAACAGCAGAGACAAAATAAGAAGCTAGAATTCACCTCATCTCACAGCAAACAATTTTCAACAGTTACTGCAGTAGTAACTTTGAAACAGAATCTCAAGCTACCCATGTCCTGTTTTCTCTGACTGCAAGCTTCTGCTAGCCTTCCAACCTTAAAAAATCATTAAATCACACTTTCATTACATTTGCAACGTTAACTCATTTTCTTCAAACTGATAAGTCTTGGTGCAATTTTCAAACACAGCCTAATTACACCAGCTCAAACCCACGCACTCTGCCTGCGCAATCTAAGGACATCTACACGGGAGATAGCCACACATGCAAGCCCATGAAGATGAAATCTCATGAAAGCAATGAGGACTGACTAAACTTCTGAAGTGAGGGTCATTGTTCCAGAGTCAGCACACCTCTAAAATGACAAACATGAGCTAGCTGCATTAATATGCTAGTCTGATAACAGAGTCACACTTGGCTTTAGGCAAATTATAGTTTAAGGCCACCTGTATATGTCTTGGATATTCTTCTGGTCATTTTCACCTTGATATCAGTACCACCTTAAGACAAGGTGTCATGGTTTAGGAATGGTACTTCCCAATTTAGTGCTCTCACTCAGACTCTCCAAACCACTTGCTTGCTCCCTTCCTCTCTTCCCCTCCCCCTGAAGTGGGATGGAGAGGAGAATTGGAAGCACAAAAGGTAAAAAACATGGGCTGAGATAAGAACAATTTAGTGGAAACAGCAATGACATGAGAAAACAAATACTAACAGCAACAGCACTAATGGCAGAGGGTACAAGCAAGAGGTGAACAATTCAAACAGAACCCCTCCAACAATAGAGAATACCCAACTGCTGTCTCCACGCTACGCCGACCAAGAAGAGAATTCTTTCCCAGTCCGCAGAAAGTGATAGGAGGTGGTATAGAATAACCTCTGGGTCCTAGCCATGCACTCTCCTGGCTACTGTAAAAATTACCCCAGCCTGGCTGGAACCAGGACATTATCCACCCTTTATTCAGTACCATCTACATCATGTCCAAATCCTACACCTTCCAACTATATACATACATGCACATATATACACAAGCATGAGTATCATTTCCATAGTCAATGGCTGTCCCTCCAAGACATCTGTTGAGTTCATTTTGTCCATGACTGAGGGTTCTATGGGCACATGGAACCAGGGCAAGAGGAGTGGTGTGCTGTCAGGTGATTCCAAGCTGCATCAGGAACTCATGACTGGTGTGTCTGGAGCAGTCCACACTCATTGTCATTGTTATGACATACAGTGGCAGTGTCATTCAGCAACCAATAATATATAATTCAAAATTACAGACTGTTCGCACCTAAAAATCAAATCCCCTTGAGGTACATACGTTTCCCCATCCCTCGGCATTACCCACCGAGTGCACCCAGGTCCTTAAGCAAAAACAATCCCTCAGATATGTTTGCCTTTGCTTGAGGCAGGACTAATCCAAACTGTCTTCCCTAACATACTCCTCATATGCACCACAGGGACTGTATCCCCTTCTACAGTACGTAGAGGTTTTGAGTGGGCTAGGCCAGCTCGACTGGTGGAGCCTCTGGTGTTAAATAACCAGGTGGCCTTTGCTAAATGTTTGAAGGTTCTACCACTCATTGCTTGCAATGTGGTTTTTAACAGTCCATGGTACCATTCAACTTTCCCCAGATGCTGGTGCATGATAGGGAATACGATATACCCACTCCATACCGTGCTCTCTGGCCCAGGTGTTTATGAGGTTATTTTTAAAATGAGTCCCATTGTCTGACTCAATTCCCTCTGCGGTGTCATGTCACCACAGGACTTGCTTTTCAAGGCCCAAGATGATGTTCCAGGCAGTGGCACAGGGCACAGGATGCATCCCCAGCCATCCAGTGGTTGTTTCCACCATCGTCAGCAGATAGCACTTGCCTTGGCAGGTTTGCAGGAGTGTGATATAATCAATCTGCCAGGACTCCCCATATTCGTATTTCAACCCACCATACCACAAAGGCTTTACCTGCCTGGCCTGCTTGACTGCCGTGCATGGTTCACAGTTATGGATAACCTGGGAAATAGTGTCCATGGTTAAATCCACCCTTTGATCATGAGTCCATCTCCATGTTGCACCTCTTCCCTGATGACCTGAGGCATCACGGGCCCACCGAGCCAGAAATAATTCACCCTTATGTTGCCAGTCCAGATCCCCTGAGACACTTTGATCCTGGCAACCCAATTCACCTGTCCATTGTTGCAATGTTCTTCAGTAGCCCAACTCTTGGGTATGTGTGCATCTACGTGACGAACTTTCACAGTCGGCTTCTCTACTCAGGCAGCGATGTCTTGCCACAATTCAGCAGCCCAGATGAGATTAACCTCTGTGTCACGACTCAGCGTAGAGGTGGAGCACTGGCCATTTCTCTCATTCAGCGATATCTAAAGCCAGCTGGACGGCTTTCAGCTCTGCAACCTGACTTGATCCACCTGGTCCCTTGACAGCTTCTGTGACTCGCTGTGTAGGACTCCATATGGCAGTTTTCCATTTTCGATGTATCCCTACAATACAGCAGGAACAGTCAGTGAAGAGAGAGTGTTGCTTTTCATTTTCTGGTAGCTGATTAGACGGTAGGGCCTCCTCAGCATGTCACCTTCTCCTCTGATGATGAGAGTCCAAAATTTTCACCTTTGGGCCTGTTTGTGATGAATTCCAATATCCCTGGGCAACCAGGGTTTTCCATTCAAGTTCACTGTGTGATCAGAGCAATCCCTTACTCCACGTAGCACTGGTATGATGTGTGGAAGGGACTTTCCCTTTGAACATCCAGCCCAGCACTGACAGTCGAGATGCCAGGAGGAGCTGTGCTTCAGTGCCAATCACTCCTGAAGCTGCTCAAAGCACTTCATAAGCTGTTAAGATCTCTTTTTCAGTTCGGATGTAACAGGCCTTGGATCCTTTGTATCCCCGACTCCAGAACCCAAAGGGTCATCCTTGAGTCTCCACAGGTACTTTTTGTCAGAGACTCCAGGAAGGACCATTCTCCCTGGCTGAAGTGTAGAGAACATTTTTTACATCTTGTCCTGTCCTGACTCCAGGCATGATGTTGACCGTACTGACTCTAAACATGGTGCAGATTTTACTGAGGAGACATAGCAGACATATCAACAAGAATATGCTTCCCTTAACACCAAAGGAAATTCAAAATTCTCAAAAGCTGTTATAACAGGCCTGAAGGAGAAAAAGGGGTGAGAAGCTGGGAGAAATCATCCTCCCCTGTTCTCCCCACAGACTGGATACCATTATTAATGGACTCCCAGAGGTAGGACACAAGGAAAGGGTAGGAGAACAACACTGAAGACACATCCCAAATGACCCTCATTGCCCTTAATGTTTTCATGTCATAAACTGATATCCCACAGTACATCAACGAAGCAATCCTGATCCCTCTCCCTGCTCTGACAGAGCACGATGATGGGCAGATAGCGTATTTACAGAAACATGTACAGGGTTAGGTACCACAAGAACATGAACAGACCAAGCAACATTGTGACTAGTGGTTCTGGACCTAATACAAAAAATGCTTAGATCAAACTTGTTTCCAGCACACTCTGGGCAGATCTGTCGTTCTCTCAACTCTTTGTGTCCCACACTGGGCACCAAATAAGGCTGTCGTGGTTTAGGAGTGGTACTCCCCAGCTCAGTGCTCTCACTCAGACTCTCCAAACCATGCACTGCTCGCTTGCTCTCCCCTCCCCCTGTGGCAGGATGGAGAGGAGAATTGGAGAACAAAAAAGGTAAAGATCACAGGTTGGGTTAAGAACAACTTACTGGGAACAGCAATGACATGAGAAAATGAACAGTAACAGCAACAATACTACTGACAGAGGGTACAAGAAAGAGCTGAATGATTCACACAGACACCTCCCAACAATAGAGAATACTCGACTGCTCCCTCTACCACACTACACTGACCCAAAAGAGAGCCCTTTCCCAGTCCCTAGAAAATGACATGAGGTGGTACAGAATAACCCCTGGGTCCCAGCCATGTCCCCTCCTGCCTACTGCAAAACTTAACTCTATCCTGGCCGGAACCGGGACACAAGGGAATTAAGAATCAATACAAGCCTATCACCCCCCTGCTCAGACTGTACCGTTCTTTCTTCAGCATCTCCCTCTCCTCTTGAAGGCTGTTGCTTATCACAGATGTAAGGTTTCTTTCCTGGACAGTGGTAAAGGCCTCAAGGCTTGACCCAGATGACAACAGAGCAGCTGGAGACTTACTAACAGGAGTAGAAGTGAAGCACGTCTTTGGTTTTGAGAGGGGGCGCTCAGCACTTACAGGAGTTGGGTTGATTCGCCTCGATGGTTTGCTTTTGCTGAAAAAATGAGAAGCAATGCCACTAAAAACAAGGTAAACAACAAAAAAATTAGGTCTCAAGAGAGATATGCATGCAACTCTTGCAGAGAAACCTGATGCTAAAATAAGATGGATATGGAGTCATGATACTAAATTTCTAAACTGTATATATAGTTATTGATTTTATTCTGGTCACTGAATAAAAGTCATGAAGATACAGACTGCTAAAAACCGTTTGCTGACCCTGCTGCAAAATTTATTAACAGATAACACAGTGCCACACAACCCTTCTAAACATTTCTAATTTGAGAGGACAGGATATGCCCCATTTTGTAAGAAACTGACGGTGAATGAGTTTCTAACATGATCAAGAGAAAAAAAACCACCAAAACCAACCAAGGTGCCGTTCTCCATCTCTGTCTGTGTAAGAGTCCAGGCTTTGAAGTTACAACAGGCCCTTTAAGTTTAAGGAAACTCATCCTTCCAGCATAAACTACTTAGATTTATCCTTCAAGAAGAGGTTCCATAAACTAGTAAAAAGCACTAAAAAACTGGAAATGTGATACAGAAACATAAAGCATTACACTTCTCAAGGATTTGCTGGTTGTTACATATTAATTGCTACAGTGTTTTCAAAATCCATATAGCATCCACTTCTAAATGCTCCGTGACCCCCTTCCTCCTTCTTTTTCCTAGCTGAGCATAATGTAATTGAGGAAGAGATACTTGCTGTCTATGCTGGAAACACACTTTATCTCCCTTGGCCAAAGAGCATCATCTAGAGCACCATCTGGACTCAGCATCTGGATCTGCTGTACAGACTCACACATTAATAATTTTCAGTTGGAATTTTGCATGTCCAACTAGAAAGTCCCACTTTCAGAGACCAATGACTGATATATGGAGTAAAGAGGCTGACATGAAAGCCTTGTATTTGCTAAAGAGGATTTTAAAGAGTAAAAGAGAAAGATAAAAGAACTGAGGCAACCACAACACAAACAGCTCCCCAGAAGCTAAACCAAAGTCACCAAGGCGACCAGGGCTTGCTGCAGACCAAGAATACAGCTAGCTATTTTGTCCATGATCACACAGCACAAACAATGCTGCACACTAACATCTGCTGCCAGAAGCCACAGAATATCAATCCAAAAGCTTCTTTGATAGCATCAGTAGAGCTGAAGAGCCTTCTAAGACTGCTCTTCCTTAACAACTGCTGTTATGCTAAATGAGAAATGTGAAGAGCCAAGACAACGCTGAGTTGTTAGAACATGCAAGGACAAAGATGTTCTCGGCTTAACGTGAGCTGGACCATACACTGGTAAGCTGCAGGCAGCATCCCAAGCGAGAGGCTAAAGAGGAGTCTTGGGTGAGTTCAGAGAGTGGAAACCTCGCAACCCATTGAAGCAATATTCCCCTCCCTACATGGCGACCATAAGAAAGCAGTTCTGACCAAGGAGCCAGGCATTGTGTATTACAGCATCTTCTGCATCTGGACACACACAACAGGATGAGTCAGTCAAAAAACAGTAACCTGCAGCACAATCCAAATGAGACAGCGAGACAGACTTGCTCTTACTTTGTCCAGCCAGAGGCAGCACCCATGGGTGGGAACTCCTCCAAGTTGTTAAGGTTTAGCTGGCTGGTTGGGGATCTGGCAGAATCAAGAGGCACTTCACTCCGCTTCCTTCTCCCTCCGCTCCACGATACACTGTCATTCTTTCCATCTTCCTCTTCAGCAAGGGAACGCCCCAGATCCCGAGCTACCTGACGGCCAGAGGCACCAACTGAGCTGTTTCCTTTCCTTCGGCCTCGTCTCACTGGCAGGGCTTCCGGTGTGGCTGTAAGGAAGCTCCCCAAGCTGGCCTTCTGAGATGACCGCTTCTCCCCGTGGTGAAGCACAGGGCTGTGCCCAAAGCTCGGGCTGCTACTGGACACCACGCTTGGGAAATCACCACAAGGGCTAGAGAGGTTTGACCCAGAAAAGGAAGAGGAACTGCTGGATGCTGCAGCAGGAGAAAAGCTGGTATCTGTGGTGCAGGTAGTCACTGAAGTCCTTTGGGAAAAGAGCTGCACTCGGCTGCTGGTTGCATGGCCTGCCCTCCTTTCTGATCCTGTCCTTTGGCTCCCATGGGCCTTGGAATTAGGTGTTTTAGCAGGAGTAGAGGGTCCATTAGTCAGAATCTGGCTGGTCTGCTCCCTTAAAAAATTTAGCAGAAAAGGCACAAAATCATTCTGAAGCAAACTAAGAGATACCAGCTTGTCATGGATGTGGTTTTCCTGCAAGAAAAGAGGACAAAGAATCAATATAAAAGAAGCCACCTTTTTCTTTCTGTCCATGTACTTAAACTCATTTAAGTAGTAACTGGGGGATTGCAATACATGATAAAAAACAGCATGACTTGGTAAAATAGGTCACTGAAAATCAAGCAACCTTAGCACTGGTCACAGATCTGAAGATCAGCTTCCCCACAAGCAATTTTGGCACGAGTTTTCAGATGGAGTCATTCATTTTGGTCTCTGACTGAGAAACAGTGGAACTGTTCCATGGAAACACCAGTAATACTCCCTGAAGCTATGGCCAGAGAGAACTTGGAGCAACTGGCACCCCTAAATTCAACATTTCAAAGACATCAATACTGAAAGCAGCTACTTCTAATAGAAAAATCTAAAATCTGCAACTTCTCTGTCTCCTATTTGTCTATGAATGCCACTTGCTCCCACAGAGGGGTGCTATAACAACTGTTTAAGCACTTTGAGTCCTGCAGTGCCAAATACAAGACCAAAGCTGCTCTTCCATTTCAATTAAATAATTTTCCTTCCTTTAGGCCTCAGAGAGGTCTAAACAGAGACTCTGCAACCTTAAGGTAAATGAAGTTTATACTTAAGAAACTTAAACAAAAAACCCACCACTGATTCAACACATTTAAAATCTAAACAGGTAGTGGTGTTCTTACAAGGGTAAATCTAGACAAAAAGAGACTTCATGTTACATGCATAGTTCAAAGTTTTGTAAACTTGGTAAAAATTCTTTTGTTCATAACACTGCACCAGGTTTCTGTCTCCTCTCAATGGGATCCAGCAACATTTGCCACAACAGAAGTTCTCATAGGCAGCAACTTATTCCTTACTAATATTAAAGTCATTGTACACATACTCCAACTAGTTAAATTATATTCACACCTCTACTAAATGAAAAGTCAAAAAAGCAAATGCTGTTTCTGAAGGTGGTTTTTTGCACAAAAGGAGGCAGTGAAAGCGTGCCTATGACTGGACTCCCACAATCCTCAATACCTATGCTGAAATTCATATTTGAAAGTGTGAGACCAATTCAGCTTCTTGGAGGAACATGAGATTCCGACACAGTTCAGAGCACAACCCCTGTGAGGTGTCAGAAGACGATCTCCAGCCTGAAACTGCCATGAAAGCTAGAGCAAGACATAGCCTCCCATTTTCTTGTGTGCCCCTGAGTTTAGCACAGAGGCATAAGATAATTACAGTCTATACTATGCATAAGGTCAGGTACTTTCTGCAGCTTTTCAGAGCACAACCTGCATTCACTCATCTTTCTCTGTCCAAGTTAACTGAGGTTTGGTTCCTCCATGTTTGGGTAACAGTAACCTGTCAACAGCTGCCAGCTGCAAACTTCGTACTTGCTTTCTCATGCTGAAGTAACCGAGCTTTTCCCAGCAGCAAAAGGCAGTGAGCAATTCCCTTGCAAGGGCAAACTTTTCGGCCTCCTCACCCCTTGCCTACGCAGTGCTAGCTGAGCTGCCAGCATCTCAAACTTCTTAACCTCCACAGACCTGCTTCTGCAAGTCACAGTTGAAGAAACACCACAGAGCATAAAGCTGCTAGTCCATTCTTCCCACACACGTTTAGGATGACAATGATACCCCGCTAACTCATGTGGATGACACCAGTGAGTTTTGATTTTAACACTAGGTAACACACCATGAGGGGCTCAGGCAGAAAATGCTTTAAAAACAAATTGTATCTCTATGTTATTAGTGAAATATAGGCAGTCCATCTCTGGTTACAATGTTTTTATTTCCACAAGAACACAAATCGTCCAGGCATATCCTATTACAAAACTCGGCCAACAAGCACCCTCTCCCAGCCCCGAGAAAGATCCTCCTCAACATTCAGGCGGGCCAGCCGGGAGGCGCGCTAGCGCTTGCATAGAGCCACCGCCAAGCCCTGGCTGCCAAGCGCCTCGCCTCGTCTTTCTCTCACCGCCACCTTCCCCGACAAAGACGCGGGAAGCGTCACCCCGTCCTGTCACCGCGTTTCCTCAGGACACACCAGCGGCGCGGTGCCGCACTGCCGGCCCTCGCCCACCCGCGCTGTGCGCCGGCAGCCGGCACGATCCCCCGCTGCTCCCGCCCGGCCCCGGCGCCGCTGAGCTCCTGGCGGGCTCAGCCCTGCGGATATTAGCGGGATTCCCACACCCGCCTGGCAGCTCCCAACGTAGGTCCCGCCGGCGGCCTCGCCTTCCCGCCGCTCTGCCCAGAGCCCGCCCGCGCCGGGGGCGGTGCCGCCGCTGTCGGACAGGAGCTCGGCCCTAGTGCGCGGCGGCAGAACGGCACCGACCGGGGCCCTGGGCCGACCCGCGCGGCTTCGTCCCTCACAGCAGCGCGGACCGGGCGCCCCCAGTGCCGGGGAGCACAAACTTTCCCGCTCGGCCCCGGCCCGCGGCGGTGGAGGGCGCTGGGGGAGTGGCGCGGCAGCGGGCCCGGCCCCGCCGGAGCCGGGGCACTGCGGGAGGGCGAGCCGACGACCCGCCGCGCGTTACCTCAGCCGGGCGGTGGCCGGGGCCGTGCTGGAGCCACCGCACCACGGCGCTGACCGGCACCTCCTCCTGCAGCAGCAGCTCCAAAACCGCCGCCATTCCCGGCCGCGCTCCCGCCGAGCACGCGCACAACCCGCGCCGGGGGCGGGCCCGGCGTGTCCCCCCTTCCCGCGGGGGCGGTGCCGAGCGGGGATTCCCGCCGGGGAGGCGGGCGGGGGCCGCGCCCCCTCCCCATGTCAACATGCGGGGCACGGGGCGCCTGCGCCGGTCCGTGCGCGTCTTTTCCTCTCATGCGCGGTATTTGCTTCCCCAACAGGGCTCGGGCCCCGGCCTAGCGCCGGCGGCGCCCGCGGGCCGGGGCTAAGGGAAGGGCAGCGGCGCCCCCCTCGCGGCTCCGCGCCCGCCCGCCTGCCCGCCGACCCCCGCGGCGGAGGATGGCCGAGGACTCGCCCAAGCGGCGCAAGGCGAATTTCAACGAGGCGGAGACGGAGGTGCTGATCGAGCAGGTGCTGAAGCACGAACAGCTGCTGTTCGCGGCGGGACCCGGCCGCGCCTCCCCGGGCCAGAAGAGGAAGGTGTGGGAGCTGATCCGGCACAAGGTGAACCCGGTGGCCGCCTGTCCCCGCGACGTGGAGGACCTGAAGAAGCGCTGGCGGGACCTGAAGCGCCGCGACCGCAGCAAGCTGTGCCGCCTCTCGCAGGGCTGCGGGCCGCCGGGCCCCCCCGCCCTCGGCCTCCTTCTGGCCCCCGAGGAGCTGCCGCCCGCGCCGCCCGCCCGCCGCCAGCGCCGCGCCTATGGCTCCCTGCTGCCCGCCGAGGCCGTGCCCATCGTGGGCGGCATCGACACGCTGGAGCTGCCCGGCGCCGTCGTGAGGGACATGGGTGAGTGCGGGAGCGACCCCCGCGGCACCGCCCCGGACCCTGCGCCCGGCGTCCCGCGCTCTGCGCGGCGGGTCGGCGCTGCCCGCCCGCTGCGTGCGCGCAGGGCGCTGCGGGCACCAGCCCCGCTGGAAATGTCTGGTTCGGATAGCCACCTTCTCTCCTTGGAAATGCAAAACGTGTATGCACGCACACTGAACTGTGAGGCTTTGTGCTGTAGGTCATAAAAGTGCACCAAAACAGCACCCAGGAGTAAAAACCCTGTCTTGTAGCAGATGCTGCTCATCGTCGAGCCGTTAGACCGTTGCAGTACTTATTCTTGCAAATGCAAAAGCCAAAAAGCCATGGCAGCACACAGTTCTTGCCAGTACAAAGTGCTGCGAGTACCTCAGTTACTGTGTGGCAGAGACATTGCGCTAGCACGTTGAAATGATCACCCTCAATACCATGGGATTTCTTGCTATCAGTGTTTCATCAATGCTCTTACTGGTTACTTGGTGCACAGTAGAGCGTGGAATGAGCTTGCAATGAACTTTGTCTCTTGGAACCTAAAGTTCAGCTTCTGTGGTAGGGCTGGTAAGGGATCTGTAGTGTGGTTAATCGGTGAATGCATATTTATGGTTTTCTTCCCACCTATGGAGGTGTATTCTAAAAGCATCAAAGATAACATAGTATGAGTTTGAGAGTCTTGTTTCAAGGACTAATGTTAGTGCTTAGTGGATGAGAACACGGTTCACTGATCATTAAGTTTATGAAGTTTCTCACTGGCTCTCCTTTGATTTTCCTCTTCCCCCATCTCCTCTAGGGTTTAATGGCAATCCTGGCCCATCTCATCAATCCAGTGTTGAGAAGATGAACCTTAAAGAAGAAATAGTAGTGAAGGTGGTAGAGCCAGAAGAAAGCTCTGAGGACATGGTTGTGGTTTCACCTAATCAAGAAGAACTGCCTTTTCTGGGGACATCAGGCGGTAGTTCCTCTGGGAAAGTAAAAGCCAAAACAAAAGGCAGGTCCCAGGCAGACCAAAATGAAATAACTGAAGAGGACCTACTGCAGATTCAGCAGACTCAGATGCAGGTGATCCAGTCTGGCTTTGACAGTGTCAACCACAATCTTCAGCTGCTGCAGCAAGGCATGCAGGATCTGAGTAACAGCATCAGCATCATGGCGCATACGCTTGTTGCTATCAAAAATGTCTATGTGAAAAACAACACTGGCCCGACCACACATGCCACTGCCTCTACTCAGACCACAGCTGGGTACCTGAGCCCAGGTTCCCCCCATATGTCCCCTCCTGAGGACAGAGGTAGAGTGCAGGTGGCTGGAAGCAGCAGCAGAAGCAGCAGCAGCAGCTCCAGCTCCATGTCACAAGAACCAGGTCCCTCCGAGTTTCCTAGACCCCCCGTGAGAACCATTAAGAAAGAACATCCAAATGGCTGCTACTACTTCTGCTTTGCAGATGTGTAAAAACTTGAATATATGTAAAGTGACTGTGGTGTTAGGTGCTGTTGTATGTTCTGCTCCAGCCTGTGACTTTGAAGGAGCAAAGTGGACTTGCCTCCTGTGTTTTTCCCAGTGGGAAACATTTTCGCTATAGGTGGCATTAAACACTAATTACCAGTCTCCCGTTTGTTAACGCTGTTGCAGTTGGCTGATAATTTTCTTCTGTTTTCTTTATCCTCTTACTCTCTTAAAAAAACAAACATTTGAGTAAGACTTTTGTCTATATCATCCTTTGTTTCATGTCACCTTTTGAAAAATAAAAGGCATGAGAGTGGGGTAGAAAAAGAAACATTATGGTTACTGACCACCAGGAGCTGTCTTACACAAGTTGCTTAGTTCTTTGATTAAACAAACCTCAGAAGTAGTTGGCTTTTTAAGTACTTCCTTTCTCTAATAATTATAAAGTTGTGGGTGTTTGCTTGGCTGTTGTTGGGTTTTATAAGTCTGTGCTGTGCAAGGCATCACAGTAAGAGTTTGAGATACCTGCTTATTCGACGAATGGTTTAGGACTGAGCTGCTGATTCATGAATCTAATCCTCAGAATTCATACAGCATTGTTCCCCTTGGCTGTTGTTCATTCTCAGCTTGTCAAATGCACCTTCTCCTCAGAGACATTTTGTTTTACTGCACTAGCAGGGTAGTCTCGTTTTTTGTCACATGATTAAAATAGAGAAATAGGCCGCTCTTACTTTGTTCAATTCAGAAGTAGCTGAGGTGCTGTGTTCTTACATCTGGTGTCCGTATGGGAGGGGAAACAAAAACACTCTCACCTGCAATTTTGTCCAATGACCTGAAAAATCATGCAGGTTGACTTCTTAAGCATTTATCACCAACATTAAAGTTCTACAGATAAATTTGGCCTATAGCAATGACTAGCTGCCTCTAGTTTTACAGTTAGTTTGCACAAGCATTCCTGCTGCAGGAATTTAGCAAATACAAATGATACAGAGAATGGCAACCCAATTGTCCCTCTCCTAGAAGCATAAGAATATGTAATCATAGGGCAAAGTATGTAATTTTTGTAGTCAGCCTTGACAGAACGCTATACCATATGAAAACATACATTTCAGTTTTTCACTTCTGCCCTTATACCATTACAGTGGACCGATTTCACACACCTGCGCTTCAGAAACCAACAACTGCTGCTTGCTAAAACATGAACACAGGGCAGTCAAGGTGTTAGCAAGTGTTTCTCTTCAGTATCGTAGATGGCGTAAAAGAAGCAAATATTTCACGAAAGTAAAAAGTATACATGTACAGCACACTCTCAGTTGGGATTAATGCCTTGAAGAAGAGAAAGTTCTTTTTTAGGTTTACCTTAAGAAAAGGAGATTGTGTGTGTGACAGACGTTAATGGGTTGAAGAACGAGAAAGACCTAATCCTTCTAAGTCAGATTTCTGAGTCTATGTTGTTACAAGCTTTCCAAATTAACCTGTTGGAAGCATTATTTCTCCCCCATCAGTACAAATGTACTCTCTGGAGCAGGGTCTTCTGTATTTTGTTTTCATGGACAAAGAAGCAAATTAATGCTACCATGACATTCCAGGTAGATTAACAAAATGTGATCTAAACATTACCTGGTCCTTCCGGGCAGCAGTTTGAGTTTGTCCAGGTTGTGACAATTCTTATCTATCTTTCTGTTGATGTTTCAATTCCTTTTGTAACTGTCAATTCTTGCATGTCACATACTACAGCGTTTCTAGGGATAGCTGAGGTGTGTCTGCTACATGGCTTTCTCATGTTTGAGTACTGATTTAAATGAGCTACAGTGCAAGTACAGAAAAGTTCAGCAAGATCCTAAGAGCAAAATCGGCAGATTGGATCTCCTGTGTAATTAAAGACAAGCCAGGCAATGCCAAAAGACACTTCAGTGGGCAGACAATGACCAGACCTCAACATCAATCTGCCACAGCACCTTTGTTCCAATCTTGCTTCTTTCTCAGTTTGTCAGTTGTACCGCTAATGTATACTGGAGCCAGACCAAAATCACTCTTCCATTTCTGGTATGATCCAGATTTACATATTTTAAACAAGGAAAGAAACTGAGCTACCTCTTGCCACTACAGAGTGCACAAATTTGTTATTTTCATCTTCCAATTAATACAGCTGGTTTGCTATTTCTTTACGCACCCTTTCTGTGATCAAGTGATGATTCTGTTAGAGGCGCCAAAAGCACACAGCGTCCAAAAGCCATGACATTAAGTTTCTGGCTGCTCTTAACACAAGGTGAAACATCACTTTCTTGGACTGTTACTGAGTAAATGAATTCCCAATGTATTTCCTCTTGTGTGAAGCTATTTAAGCTATTTGTATAAATGACAAGGGCTAATGACCTGATCATGAACCTTAGTGAAAATACTGCCAATGATGTGAACAAAGGCAGAGCTCGCTTTTAATTTGCCTTACATACAAGGCATAACAGTGGTAATACTGAGAAATCTATCCAGGAAATTTTCTCCCTAAAAAACTTGTTCTGCTGTGCAACGAGCAGGCAATATTTGCCACAGCACAGGACTGAGACCTGCAGGTACACAAACCACAAATATAAACTGTGATGATATTGCATGCTACCTAATTTTATTAGAAAGATAAATAAAAGAGTCTTGGAGGAAACTAGAGCAACTGGTAGCTTATCGCTGCATTTCCCCATAGCACAAGGTTCTCAGATTCAGTAACAACTTCCACTCGCTCATTTCTCTGCTATCTGCCACTTAAGTGTATTGTACAGGTCTCCTCAAGAGGCTATAAAAGCTCAGTGACTACATCCAGACACCTGATTATCCCCAAAATAAGTCAATTATAGTGGCCTCTGACTAAATAAAAAACTTAACAATTTTGAAGAAAAAAAAGCCAGCAGCA